CTGGGGGCAGGCTGGACTAAGCCAGGCTTGTGTAACATACCAGTAGATGCCAAGTTGAGCCAAGCCATGCATTTGGGGGCAGTGGGTGCTGGGTCCATAACCCCTGGAGTGGGGGATCTGGCAGGGCCAGGTTATCTGGCCTGGGTTTTTGGGCCCACCTGCGCAGTGGGTGCCAAGTTCGTGAGCACTGAGGGCAGGGTTCACTGGGGTCTGGGTCATATGGTCCAGGTCATTGGGCCCACTTGTGTGGTGGATGGTGGGTCTTTGAGCCCCAAGGGCAGGGGGAATACAGCTGGGCCCAGGTCACCTGGCCCATGTCCCTGGACTTGCCTGTGCGGTGGGTGCCAAGTCCCCATGAGTCCCAGGGGTGGTGGGTCCAGTGCGACCCAGGTTGCCTGGCCTGACCTTTGTCCCTGCCTTCCAGAACAGGTCCTCCTCAAAAGAAACAGCAGAGCAGCAGATGGAAGGCCCTGATGCCTATGGAGCATACGGCAGTCCACTGGGGCCTGCATAGGACATCTGGTACCATACATGGAAGAAATCAGACAACTACCCCAGACAGACAATGACAGCAAATCAGCTTCGAAGGTCGACTGTGTCAGCCAATGGACATTGGGAGAGTTTCCTCATCCTTCAGTGAGATCGGCAGCATTTCAGAACTATCAAAATCACCTGGGCATGTGATGGCGTGGCACCCTTGGCGTGTGCACCACACTGGGACGATACTGCATGTCCCCCAACCCCAGGTACTGGGGCAGTCAGGAGGCTGGGTTTGGCTTCACCCCTTATATTGTCTCTTCCCCCAGAAACAGAAAGAATTAGAAAATTTGGAAACAATGATCACACCCACTTTTCCCTAACCCTCGATCCTTCCCACCCTGATCAACTAGGTAAACATCAATAATATTTTTTTAATTTAAAAGAATACACTTATATCAAATAATACCAATAAAAAAAGATGTCAGCCTAGTGCCTAAATCCTCACCTTGCATGCACCAGGATCCCATAAGGATGCCAATTCATGTCCCAGCTACTCTACTTCCCATCTACCTCCCTGCTTACAGCCTGGGAGAGCAAGGAAGAATGACCCAAAGCCTTGGGACCTTATGCCTGTGTGACAGACCCAGAAGAAGCTCCTGACTTCTGGCTTTGGATTGGCTCAGCTCCAGCCATTGCGGCCACTTGGGCAGTGAACCAGCAAGCAGAATATCTTTCTCTCTGTATTTCCTTCTCTCTGTAAGATCTGCCTTTCCAATAAAAACAAATCTTTTTAAAAAAAAAAAATACTGTTGAGTGACAAAATACATACTCATAGCTGTGTATTTTTGAGCATGCATATGTAAATTTGTTACTGCCCTGCTTAAGATCTTTCAGTGTCTTTTCATCTCATAGATTAACAAGACCCTTCATCTTCCTCACGCTACATGTCTCGCCTCATTTTTCATCACTCCTTAATATTCTACACATTATCTTGCAAAATGCTTGCAGTTTTTCAGTGTGCATACCTCCTATGCATACTGCCCCCTCCCAAGACACATATTTTTTTATGACTTAAAAAAAAATTCTAAGTAACTCTCCCTGTCAGGTCTCATTTCCACAGCTGTGTCTGAACCTCTAGCTAGGACCAGTAACTTCGCAGCACCTCCAAACTTTTACCAGGCAGTCGGTCCTTTACGTGGCTTTTTCTGCCAGTAAATGTGAACTCTTTGCAGAAATTACTCTTCCTATTTGTTTTCTCTGAGAAACATAACAAGTTTGATGGATTGACTGAAATGAAGGACTTGCAGCAAATGTTTCAAGGGCTTGCATTTTTTTTTCTTGTAAAGTTATTCAGATACGCAATTTAAAACTAAATTCTTTCACATAAATACAAATATTTTGACCACTGAAATCTTTTCTCCCTTTCAGGATAATTTCTTAATGATTATGGTTATTTATCAACTGACTTCCAAAGTCAGCAAAACTTTCCTTGCTGTCAATGGTGGGTACGGCTGTTCTTGGAACTAGCTTGCTCTCCCTCAAGATAGTTTCTCCATTAGTGTAACTCAGTTCTTAAGCTTTCCATGATATTTAAACCTAGAGAGAGGGGTACGTGGGAAGGGGGATTAGACAGTTAGATAGACAAGGCAGATATTAGATTCATCATGATACCAGTAAGGCAGCAAGCAAGATTAGCCAAATTAGAACTGGTTCCTTTCTTAATGACCAAAGAGACAGGGCGTCAAACTACCTGAAAATTAGGGTTTGCTTGCAGACAGCATCCCATAGCTAGCATTTCCTAAGGAAGGAAGGGGAAATGACTTTCGTGACAGGAGGGAAAGGGACGGGGGAAGTGAAAACTCCCGAGGCACAGCTGGAGTTTACAGCGACTTTCGAGAAATAAACCTATTTCAAGTCAGCACTCCATTTAATAGCAGCCACAAAGGGGAAGTCCCATCCCGGAGACAAGAAACAGGCCTGCAGGTCTCCTTAGGAGAGAAACTCCCCTTCTCACAAGTAAAAGCAAGACTCAACTTACCCCAAAAGAAAACCTTAAAAGCACAGAAGGCAGGGGCCGTCATATGAAAACCTAATGAAACATCACAGCTGATTCTGGCAGTCAAATGAGAGGAAGCAAAGAGGGAGACCTGGAGTAGAATTTACTCAAGCTAAAGACTGTTACAAGTTAACGCGTAACTGTCAGCTGTGTCCTGTGTCCTGCTAATCCTTGGCTGGTCTCCCAGGCCTGTGAAGGCTGCCCGCCAACAGCCTCGGGTCAAGTTTCTGTTTCTCTGAAAAGGTTCCGTTTTGCCTCTACATGGACAGATGCTCTGTGGGGTTTTCCTTCCTTTCACCCTGATGGGAAACGGGGCTCAGGAAGGGGCCTAGGCTGCCGGGGAGCGACCATCCCCTAACGTCCCCTGGGCCCCAGAACCGCTAGCTGCGCTGCCACCCACAAGGAAGTGGCCGCTGGCCTCTCCGGTCCCAGGGGCCTCTGTCCCGGTCACCCACGGCTCTCCCACAGTCTCGCCCGGCAGCCCCCACTGCCTGCCAGCCCACCGACAAAATGGCGCCCTCCTCAACCTCCTGGGACCCCGAATTTGTAGAATGGCCTGGGGTCGGCAAGGAGAGATCCCATGAACACAACTGCTGTACCTCTCCCCAGCCCCCCGGGTATTCTCCTCCTTGCCTTCCGTCAGAACAGTGCAAGTAGCAGCAGCCTGCAGCGTCTACACCAGCTAGCAGCACAAGCGAGGCGGTACCAGCTTTAACCTCCAGCTGAAGAAGGTTCTCGAAGGCCGGGAGTCTCGGCATGTTCAGTGTGCGCATGCGTCAGCTTCAAAAGCGGCTTGCAGCCGCAGAGCCCCTCAAAGCCGGCATCCGCATGGGCTTCCAGAACCTTCTGTGCCAGGGACTATCCTCAATACTATATCTGGGCATGACTCTTTCTAATTGTGGAAGGCAGTGTTACTCAAAGGATCACAGATAAAGGAGCCGTTACTATGGATGTTGACTCAATCAGGAGAGCAAGTGGTGTCAGGAGAGCATGTGGCAGAGCCTGACCACGCATGTCTGGAGCTCCGCAAAATGGGAGGGTAGTGGGGGATGGAGGATAGAGGGAAGCAGGGAAAAGTGAGGGGTGAGGAGATAATGCTTGCATAGCAACTAATAATACAATGCTTGCCAGTGGTGGGAGTAGAGGAGGTCGTGGTAAGCCCTAAAGATGTATTTAGTCCTCTTTTCTTTGTTAGGAAGAATAACCACTAACTGAGGTGCTTTGCAGTTGGCAAGGCAGAGTTGATACTATGCTTAACAGGTTAGTTAGTAATGGTGCTTTTCAGATCAAGGAATTGAGGCTCAGGAAAGCGAAGTATTTTGCACACAACCATTAGTATGACAAAGCTAGGATCTGATCCCTACCCTACCCTATGTCACATCATAACCAAATCAATAAAGCTATATCAAAGGTCACAACAAGTGTATTTTTTTAATTCCAAAGAGTTTCTTATTTTTTTTAACCATTAATAATCCATATATAAACCAGGCAAAAATGTACACAATGAGGCATAGAACGCCGAAGTCTGACCTTCCTTTACACCACAGCCTGTGTCCTCAGTGTGATGAGAAGGCAGTATTGCTTTAAGGGAGGCAAACATTGATTCTCAGAAGGCTAAAAAATATCAACTGCTGCAGAAATTAGTGGCCCACCAAAATTCAACTCTCCCTAATGAAATCTTATTTCTTAGAATTTAATTTCTCTCTTTAAGAAGAAATTTAGGGGCCGGTGCTATGGTGGGAATGAAGGTGCTTTAAACTGTTGGATGAGCAACATTAGAATAGATAAATATAGCCACATGTTCACAGAAAACTATACAATAGCAGTCAACCCTCGGAGCATGCCCCACATCGGGGACCCTGGGATGGCACCAGGTGGCTGTCCTCCATCCCTGGGTGCGGAGGTGGTTGGGAGATACAGATACAGGAAGGAAAAAAAAAAGAACATGGAAATAGTGATCGCAACGACCTTCCTGTCGCCCTTGACTGTTTGCACCCTAATCATCAAAAATAAAAATAATTATCTTTAAAACAATAGTAAACAACTTTAAAAAATGTAGTACTTATCCAGACTTTAATATTTCCTGTATGGAAACCGCATTTCCAGCCCTTGTTTTATGGTGTTAGCAGAGCCATTGTATTACCTGTCCTTCAACCCAGTGCGCTTGATAGGTGTGCTAAAGGCTACTGGTGTTGCTGGTTTCACATCCCTTACTATAAACTACCCATTTATGTGAAATGGAAATAAAACATGCAGAAACTCCCTGGGATCTGACAGTAGGGTTTCCCCAGCACAAAAAAACAGTGTGTGATTTGTTTACTCAGCCAAGCACAACAGCCAATCAGAGTCCTAAAAGAAAGTAGAATTCCTAAATAAATATGATTCCTGAGAGCATGTTTTGTAAAGAATTGCTCAGGCTTCAGATCCACACAGAAGTGACTTAGAGGAATTCCATTCCGACACCATGAAGAAAAGTTGTGTTCTTTTCGTCTTGGGCATCACCTTGCTGATTCTGATTGGAGTTGAAGGTAAGGGATTCTGAGTTATACTGGGTTGTTAAAGTCAGAGGTGTGAAGCACTATAGAGGCCTCTTGAGCCGCTGGAGTTCGTGGTTTGCACGTATAAGAAGCTTCTTGCTGATGTAACTGATTAACCAGAGGTTATAACTTGCCCTTGCCAAGTCTAGCACAGCCCTTACTGTAGCTGTGTGAATTCCTTTAAGCGGTTCTTGAAGTTTATTGGTTATGAGATAAGATGATAGGCTGTGTCTCCTAAATTGTCTTTGTATTTTACCTTGAGACTGCTTCTTAATAACCAGGTCTATGATTAACAAATTAAGGAAATATTAGGTTATCAAAGAGACTTCCCCTAATCTGTCTACTACTTTTGTTAGCTTAGGTTAGTAATCGTTCTAAACTTAGTTTTTTCACCCATAAAATGGAAATTTTGTGGTTAATATGTGTCATAAAAAGCATTGAATAAATATGCACTGAATGAAGGTAAGAACTAACATATAAGGGCAATACCTTTTAAATGGTTATCAAGTTTAAATATTCAAAGGAAGATGAGTGAGGATGAAGATGGAAACTGGCTATTGTAAGTAGAGGTACATACCCAATACCAACTAAAGTTAGTTAATAAATACGTAGATTTTGAAGTTCCTTAACAAACTTGATTCATGGGGCCACATTGTGGTGTGGTGGGTTAAGCTCCTTATGATACCAACATCCCACATTTGCACTGGTTCTAGACCCAGCTGCTCAACTTTCCAAACATCTCCCTGTTAATGTGCTTGGGAAATCAGCAGAAGATGGCCCCATTACTTGGATTCCTGTACCCATGTAGGAGACCCAAAAGAAGCTTTGGGCTCCTGGCTTCAGCCCTGTACAACCCCCAGTCATTGTTCCATTTGGGGAATGAACCAGCAATGAAAGACCTGTCTCTCTCTCTCTTTCTCTCTGTTAACTCTTTCAAATAAATTTTAAAAATCTTTTTAAAAAGAAGTTTGACCGACATATAAACATATAAATTATAGATCTCTATGTTCAACCTATAACAGGTATTGGAAAGTCTTTTTTTCTCCTAAGATTGTATGGTGAGATGCTAAGAGTACCACCTTTGGACTCAGAATGACTAGAGCTGAAATCCTGCCCCAACCCTCTGAAAGTCACATGACTTTATTCTTTTCTTAACCTCTTGTTAGCCTTATCTTGCTGAAGTGACAACAGTGCCTACTCCAAAGGTTTGTGGCAATGATTTGTGGATACTCAGTAGATGGTAACAGTAGTCATATTTAAGTGAAATGTGCCATTTTGATGGATCACCTACACTGAGGCATTGCCTTCAATCCATGCACTCTCCTCTCTCTATTTGCCACAGGAATAGGAATCATTAAGAATAGACGCTGTTTTTGCATCAATACCAGCCAGGAGAAGATCTACCTGCAATCCTTAAAAGACCTTAAACAGTTTTCTCCAAGCCCTTACTGTATGAAAACTGAGATCATGTAAGTAAACTCTCATCCAGGACGCGTGTCATGTTGGTAGAGACACTGAATTTAGTGTGACCACTGTGCTTGCCCGTTATAACATGGAAAATTCAGATGGCTATCACCTCCATGAATCTGGTCTATTCCATCCTTTTCTTCTTCTAAAATAATGGGATTCCTGGTAGAAATTAGGAACCAGAGATAATATATTGTTGAAGTGATTCAATGTTTAATGTGGACAACTGAAAACAAGAAGTCACTTAAAATCAACTATCCAATGATAAATGCTATTGGCCCTTTGCTTAATCTTCCCAATCTTCCTGATTCGTTTTTTATGTACAGCTTTAGACACTATATATGTGCATATATATTAAATATATACAATGAAAATCTATACCACGTATAGTTTGATAATCTGCTTCTTTATTAACACTGTAAACACAGCTGTTTTCTTATGCCACTAAATCTTGTACAAAAGTCATTTTTTCTAATGTTGTTTTTAATGGCCAAGATGCATTCTATCATATGAATACATCATAATTTATATGACCAATGTCTACTTTTATAAATGTAAGTTATTTCCAATTTTTTGCTACTTTCAAACTTCTATTGTGACAGTATTATGTTTTTAATTCTTTCTTATTAACATCTTACTTCAGATTAGAATTATTAGATTAAGGAATATGTATATTTTAAGTATTTTAGTACATAAATCCTAGATGACAAATGGAACAGCTATCCCCATTCTCAGACTGTACAGAGAAATTAAAGAAAGCAATCTGGAAATGATTCATGAAGGGGCTGATGTATGTAATTTTTTTCAAACTCACCAGTCTGCAAGTCTTGTTGTAGGAAAACATTTTATTATATTCTTATTAATTTTGTTAGAAAATTCAGAGGGACTTGTTTTTGGCCTAGCAACTCAAGCTGCCAGCTATAATGCCAGCATTGTGGTTGGACGTCAGTTTGAGTCCCAAATGCTCCACTTCTAAGCCAGCTCCCTGCTAATGAGACTGACAAAGCAGCAGATTGTTGGAGTCTCTGGGCCCCTGCACCCACATGGAAGACCCAGATGATGCTCCTGGCTCCTGGCTTCAGCCTGCCCCAGCCCTGGCCATTGTGGCCAATTGGGAGAATGAACTGGAAGACTTCTCTGTCTTTTACATTTTTTAAGAAAATATTTATACATATTTTCACTACTTGCAAAAAATATGCTTAAATTATTAGCAAGCAAAAATATCTCATTACTGTTTCTTTGGCAGTGCCATAAAGAAGAATGGGGAACAAACATGTCTAAACCCAGATTCTACAGATGTGAAGGAATTGGTGAAAAAGTGGAAAAAACAGGTTGGTGAAAAGAAAGAGCAAAATTTTTTTTCTTTCAGAAAAAAAACTATGAAAGGCAAAGAATCCAGATAGTCCAATTTAAGGATATATTTTTCATGGTTTCATCAATTCAGATTGTATTGAGTTGAGTGATATACACTGAGGATACAAAAGTGATAAAAAAAAAAAAGTACTTTCTGTAGCGGGTGTTTTATGACAATGCATAGCAATTGTAATGCAGTAGGTGAAATATAAAATAAAAATGTACAGGATATTGAAGATTATGGGGGAAAAGGTAATTAATTTTACTGGGCAAAGAATTGAAGTGAAAGTATTAGGAAGACTTCTCAGATCAAATGTGTTAGGTCTGGATCTCGAAGGTTAAGAATTCACAAGAAAGGTAAAGACAGCATGAACAAGAATGGAATCGTAAGAAAGCTTGCTGTGCTCGGGAAGCCGTAACTAACAGAATTGAGGTTTGTTTGCAGGATGTGGTGTGATTAAGGTAGAAAAGCAGACCACAATAAAGCAAGAAGATTCCAGCATGACATGCTGTGGAGTTGGTTTTTAAGAGCTGTCTAGTGGTTTACCACATACCAGTTGTGTTGCTTTGGCAAGTTACCCAGCCTAAACCTCAGCCTCCTCGGGTATAAAAAGTGAATGAGGTTAGTACCAACCTCAGGGAGTTGTAGTTGGAGGAGGTGGGTGGTGAGCAGGGTTGCACTGAGGGTAGTAATAAGCCAGAAGAGATTCAAGCAGAGCAATTAGAATGTTGGTGCCTCCTCCTCTAGACAGAGAGTAAAGTTAACGTGAATCCAGTCTTAAGGATGAACAACACAGTTTGGGGGTCTGAATATACTCCAGGAAGGAAAAGATTATAAAATCAAAAAACATTACCTTTTTATACTCTCTCCATACAGGTTAGCCTAAACAAAAAGGCAAAGAAAGGGAAGAAACTTCCAAAAGTTAAGAAATTCAAGAAGTCTCAACATCCTCATCAAAAGCAAATTCTGTGAGGATCACTTTACCAACTAATATTTTCTGTCAAAATCTTTTTTTAAAATTATGCAGAAATAAATTCCAAAAAGTGGATACTAATACGTAATTTGTTAATCTGACTAGAACACATGCAAAGCATTATTATATAATTATAACTGAAGTTTGAAGTTGATGTAAAAACCCAAACCTTAAGAATTGTTAGGTTCTGCAGTCATCTCTGTCTTTCCACCCCCAGCATTCTGAATTTCATCGTGCTTAAGAACATGGTTGTAGTAATATCCACATCTGGACAGATGGCCACACTACTGCACCCACACGTAGCAGCTGCCTGAGAGAGCAGTCCAAGACATGCAGGGCCACAACCTGCAACCCCAGGAGAGGGTTATGAGTGTTATTAGTCAGCTTTCCCCAAACCTGTAGTGTTCTGGTTAGCCAGACGGCTTAGTTGAGCTGGACTCTACTAAGCTGCACGTGTGCTTGAATCAGCCTGCAAGCCTTACAGGACCCACTAGTGGAGACGACCAGTGCTTGGCAGTCAGAATCTTCTGGCTTCTGTGGCCACGTGACTGCATGTGTCCTGCACAGAGGAGCATGTTGTTGTCTGTGGTTCTCCTCTGCCTCGGGCAAAGCAGTCCTCTCGTGGGTAGTCAGGCTCTCCCTTTCAGGACCGGTGCACCCAGCCCACTCCTCAGTCTTGCCCCAGTATTCCACAGGAATGCTACCCGCCCCACTCATCCTCCCTCCATTCACTTTCCAATGCTCAGTTTTTCAAGCTCTGCTTCCTCAGAAAGGCCTCCCTCCACACCCAAACACAATCTTAAAACTCCTGTTTCATTTGTGTTCAGTACCACATGGTGAGCACTTCATAGTTATCTAAATAATTTCCATTTGTTTCCTTTCTCTTTCCAACCTCAGTTTCATTTCCTTCAGGGCAAGAGTTGTTGTTTTCTTGCCTGACATTTGCCACTATGCCTCATATCCTAGGTTTGAAATGAGTTCCTAACTGGAGTTGTTACAAATAGGAAGATAATGAGATCAGCTTCTCAGGGCAGCACTGGCTACTTGGTGGCCACTCCTTGTTGTCTAACTCCTGGGAACCTCTTTTCTTCATTATCTTCAGGCTGATGTCATTGCAGGGATTAGGATGTGAGGCAACATCCTTATCTTAATATGACAGGATGTTTTCTTGGCTTCTTCTCCAACAAATAAGCACTTGTTTAAAGTCCTTTTGGATACTGTGAATTACCTTCATAAAAGCTATTACAGGACATCCAAAATCATAGAACCTTCCTTGAAAAGGGGCTATCAAGATCAGCCAGTGGCTCCCACCCCAATTAAAAAAAAAAAATCTTTCAATACCATTCCTGGCAAACTTTAGCTTTCAATGGATTAACAGTGTGGCCATCAAGATCTGTTAAAGACTCATTTTAGCCAGCAGTTTATCTTGTTGCAGAAGCTGCAAAGTATGGTGATCATCAAATCCCACAGCAGCTCTCATATGAGTCAAGGGGACTGTAAGATCCCAAGAGCTTGTAGAACAGTGCATTCAGTGAGCCGAGGCATGGCTGATCTCCTGGTGGCCTCTGTAGATCTTAGGCCCCTCCTTCAAGTAGAAGTTAAATGTTGCCATTCCTCCTACTGCACATGATTTTTAAGTGCTGCCTGGTAGTGATCCCACCTAAACATCTTTATGAAATCTTAAAACTCCTTAGCTCCTTGCATGTATCCCCTATGAAAAGCCTGACTGTTCCAGAAGAGTCTACTATCCAATTTCATTGCATCTCACAAATTAAATGGACAATGTAGAACTAATAACTACAGACCACCTATCTTCACTAAGTGTCTGCGATATGGGACCAACTGTAATCATCATTTATGAACATATGTATACTCTCTTAACAAATAGCTTTAAAACACAAAATAGTATTGGGATCTGTACTTTGTACTTTGAAATACTCTCCTTGTTATAAAACAATGGTATCAATAAATAGATCGTGGATCAGTAAACATGTCTTGATCTTGTATTTTTTTTGTCCTGAACATCCTAAACTATTTCATATTTAATGTTAATTCTCATGTGTCTTTATTCATTTACTTTTTAGCTTTTGTCTTGTAAGATTTAACATTGATTGGGATTCAGAACACAAAGGCTCCTAATTAATAAAGAAACTTCTTGGGAAATACCATGTGACTGTCTTACAGCATCATTGACTTACCAGAAATAATGAGAAATTCAACTTATTTTCTAATCCTTAAGAGTAACACTATTGGGCCAGGCGGTGTGGCCTAGTGGCTAAAGTCCTCGCCTTGAACATGCTGGGATCCCATATGGGCTTTGGTTCTAATCCCAGCAGCTCCACTTCCCATCCAGCTCCCTGCTTGCGGCCTGGAAAAGCAGTTGAGCACAGCCTAAAGCCCTGGGACCCTGCACTCATGTGGGAGACATGGAAGAAGCTCCTGGCTCCTGGTTTTGGCTCAGCTCAGCTCCAGCTATTGTGGCCACTTGGGGAGTGAACCAGTGTCAGAATACATCCATCAGATGTATTCTCTGGGACAGCAGAGGCCTGTGGGATCCTATTGAGAAGCCCCAGGAAAGAGGAGGCAGAGGGCCTCTCACCCAGAGTGTGAGTGCTTGGGTGTGCTTTCGTGCTTTCCTTGATGATAGGCAAACATCTGTGCTCTATCTAGTCAGTTGCCCAAGGGCAGAGAGTATTCCTTATCTACTTCCTACTTCAATAATGCTTTGACCAAGTCGCCTTCTTACTTCCTTGAACTCTCTGTTCCCAGGCATGATGCAATTCTGAATCGTGTCTGAATTATTGTTTTATTAAAAGTGTAAGATCTGTAACTCTGGGAATGAACTGTCAGTTGTCCGAGGGAGCACTGTCCTTCCTTTACTTTTCGGTCACATCTCCTCCCCAGGAACCCGCAAGGTAAACTTGCGAACCAGCAGACAGAAGATCTTTCTCTCGGTCTTTCCTCCTCTCTGTAGATCTGCCTTTCCAATAAAATAATCTTTAAAAAGGTAACATTATTTTGATGAGAGATATTGCAAGAAACTACAATTATCTTTGTCCTGATCTCTTAACATCATATATGTTACAATGTTATAAAGCTCTGAGTAGCTATATTGGAGATATTATTTAAGAGGCCGGGAAAAAAAACACTTATGCCCCAAGTATTGTGTACTTCAGAGGCTCCCAAGGGTTGGGACTAGGTAGAGAGCATCAGCCAGGACACTTGGGGCATACTCGAGAGGCCAGACAGGTAACAGTTGTTAATGGTGAGCGAACATTCCTATGAGGGCTCTCCCTCAAAGGCGGCAATATGCCATGGCGAGAACTACAATTCTGGATTCTGAAACACCTGCATTAGAATTGGAGAAACCCACTACCTCCTAGTTATATAAAGTTGGTTCAAGTGTACTATATAACCTTTCTGGCTGTGTATCAGTTCCTGCCTTCAGGACTGTTTTGGGGAACAGGCTCCGAAGAGACTGTGGCTGGTTGGGAGTACTCTGGATCAGCTGCAAGCCCCTCTCACTGCCACCACTTATGTCTGCTGCGCCTTTCAAGCATCAGAGGATGTCCGCCATCTCACACCCAGGACTAGCAAATGCACAGAAGGAATGCCACCAAGGCCTTTCTGGCTGGTGCTCTCTGTGTCTGTATAATCCTAGGCCTTTTTCCTGGGCCACTTCTGGAGTCTCCTAATCTCCCTGCTGCCTCTTTCCCTCTTGCTACACTGTTGCCCAGGACAGACAGGAGGATCCTTTAAAGAGAATGCACACAATGCCACCACTTACTTTAAGTCCTGAAATTTTTAATAGAATCAAAACTCCCCTGCTTCTCTGCCTGTGCTCCTCCACCCATGCCCTTGCTCACTGAGCTTCTGTCAAGGACACTGGTTTCCCTTCCTCCCCAGGGCTTTGCAATTGCTGTTGTGCAAGACCAACCTTGACAGGCTGAGATCTTATTCTTGACCAGAGTATTTGGCTTTAAGGTAACTGTTTTAATAAAGAGTTTCCTTTTTCTCTTTTTTCTTTTCTACGAAAAGAATTTTTGCATCCCCACCTCTAAGGTACAAGGCCCCACCTTGGCCTTCTGTGTCCAGACTGGGAACAAATAGGCCATGAGTCCTCAGCATCCCTTAAGCCTCAGAGTAGACTTCCTGAACTTGCTCAGGAGGAAGGAACTAAAAGACAAAGGATGAGAGAAATGCAATAATAAATCATGGAATAGAGGGGAGGAGGAAGCTTCGCTGCTTGAAAAAAAAAAAATGTGTTAGCCTAGCGTGTAAGACAGTTGCATCACATGTTGGAAGGCTTGATTTCCGTCTTCCTGACAGCCAGTACAGATGTTGGGCAGCAGCAGAGGCAGCTGAGTACTTGGGTTTCTGCCACCCACGTGGAGTCCTGGGTTATGTTCCAGTTCCCAGTTTCCGCTTCAGCCCCACGCTGGTCAGTGTGGACCTTTAGGGAGGGAATCGATGGCTGGGAACTGTCTCTTCCTGCCTTTCTCTGGCTCTTGCTTTTCTTCCCCTCTTCTTCTCAGACAAATAAATAAATAAAGGAGGGAAAGAAAGAAAGGTGCGCCAACAATCATTCCCACAAGATTGGACACAACTAACTTCAGGTCAAGTCACGTATCTGTTGTTAGGAGTCTTTGGTGATGGCCATTCTGGCATGGGAAATTTTATAGTATGCATGTTAAAGCAAAAATGGTCAAAATTCTCTGAATAATAAAGAAGCAGGAATAATCTCTGGCAGCCAAGGAGGATAGTGGGTTACTGACAGACCAAAAAAGAAGCCATGGAGGAGGTAAGGAGGGGAGGGACCATTGGAATAAAGATAGAGGCACCCAATGAGAAGTTTCTTGTGGCAGGATGATTAACTTTAAACAGTGCTGCCTTCTATTCAGTTTCAGTTGTGGGTCTTGCTTAGACTCTTGGGAATAATGGTCTTCTTGTAGTTAGTGGAATAAAGGCTTAGTTCCCTTTCCTTGGCTAACTGAAATAATTCCAGGAGGCTAGAAAACTTTGGCCCACTTGGGTCAGGCAGTAGCAATGCAGGTGTGCTGCCAGGATGATCATTCAACCAAGAATTTGCTGCTCAGCTGCCAGGGGCCAGTAAGATGCATCCCTGTCGGCTCCTCTTCATTTGTGAGCTGAGGCCACACTCCAACTGGGCAGCCTCCAGCCCATATCTGTGAACAGAGGGAGCATTGCTGGCCATTCGAGGGTGGCCTTTAATCGGGAGCAACTCATTGGGTTGCTTGAACTTTCAGAATCACAATCCGCCTTCCACACACCGTTGTCTTCACAGGAATGAACTCTGAATAAACTTCTGGCACACCTCTGTCTCAATGTCTGCTTTCCAGGGGATCTAAATGATATGGGATTACAATAACACACTTTGTATTTTTCTATAACTTTAATTTTACCTTTTTTGGAAAAATCGTTTTTATTTTTTATGATGTTTACATAGTTAATCAGCGTAGGAAGGATCAGGGGTTAGGGGAAAATAGGCGAGATCATTGTTTCCAAATCTTCTTTTTCTTCCTCCTATTTCTCGGGAAAGCGGGACAGATAAGGGAAAAGCCACACCCAACCTTCCAACCGCCCCAGTACCCAGGAAAGAGGAAACGGCCACCCAGTATCATCCTAGGGTGCCTGGTTCGGACCATGTCCCCAGGAATCTGCCCAGGTGGTTTCAGCAGTTTTGAAATGCTATTGATCTCGCTGATCCAAGGATGAGGCAATCCTCCCAATGTCCATTGGCTGACATAGTCGACCTCAGAGTCTCCGTTCTCCCAGACATTTGCTGTGATTGTTTAACTGAGGTAGTTGTCCACTTTGTTTTGCTCTTCCTCCTTTGCTATGGTGCTAGATGACCTCTGCAGGCCCCACTGGGCTGACAAATCCTCCATGTGCACCTTGCTTGCCGTCAACTGCTTGTCTTTTCCACTGAAGGGGCCCAATTCTGACACATGCACTGTGTGGTCAGACCAGCAATCCTGAACATAAGCCCTCAGGTCCCCACATGTTCTCACCTGTGCTTCCCCCAGACTCCCTGCAAACCCACATACCAAGCCCCCACAAGCATACTGTTGGGTGTCCAGTGGGCTTCACCCAGCGCTGTTGGTGCCCTGAACCCCCATTGGACCCTCCCTGATCCCAGAGCTCACAGACCTGGCACCCACCACGCAGATGGGCCTAAGACCCAAGCCAGGCAACCCAGGCCCCACCAGAAACCCCTGCCCCCAGGACTCATGGACCCAGCACCTTCCCTGCTCCATATATCCAAAATTTAAAAAATTGAATAGGCTAGCCGACTATGCTGGCATGCTGGGATGGTTAACACAGATTTGCAATTAACCAGGCCTTGAGGCCCACCAGCTGTTAGCTGCTGTTCTCCCAACAATGTAACACTTGCCTAAGCACAATGCAACCTAGACCATCACCCACAACTGTATTTTTGATCAACAAATGTTAGCTGTTGCCATCCATATTATAGCCCATGGCCACTTCAGACTTCTAAATGGAGGAAACATGGAGAAGGAAGTAGAAGGAAGGTCCTGGAAATCAAAACCAAGGTTGCCCTAGCCATGGGACTCGTTGGCTGAGGAGCCTTAAGCAAGTGTCATGGCCTCTGCCTGGCGGAACCCTCACCCGCAGAGTAGAACACAAGAAACCATGACACCTGGAGCTTCCACCAAGCCGCGGCCCCATCTCAGTGTTCAGTAGGTGCACTGTAGTTTTTGCTTCATCAACACCTGATGCTTCCCCTTGGCTACCTGTTATAGTACCACCCCCATACTCCTTTATATGCTTATGCTTTAAAATAAACTGTCATAGGAACCAGTTTATGATTGCCAAAATTTGAGAACACTGACTCTGGCTTTAGATTATTTTGACTACAATGAGATGCGATGTAGATGACTCCAAAGGATTTCGTTCTTTCTCTATTCCCTTTCAAATGTAATGTGAAGCAGTGTCCAGAAAGTTCCCACGTTACACTATTCCTCTGCCAATTGTTCGTGTATCCCTCGGTCTTTCAGGTTGAGAACAGCCAAGAAAGCTACTGACGTTCCTTTTATAACTAAGTCCCTGAGGATAGAGTAACTAAAAGAATGTTCCAGAAGAAGATAGCTTATGTTTATTTGCTAGAAGAAGACAGTTCAGCTCCTTAAGGACATTTCATTACAGCTTATGTCATTTGGGTCACAAAGGAACCGGATTCTTCCTAATACGGAAATTTTTAAAACAGGCAAATAGGCTTTGAAAACAAAGAAATGGGGAATTCACTGACATCAGCTCATCTCTCCACTTATTGTTACAGAGTGCTTCAAAATATTAATGAAATAAAAATAAAAGGGGCAAAACATTTTTAAAGTTTGTTTAAAGACATTTAATTTATAAGCTGAGAACAACAGCCTGGTGGTTAAAGTTCTCTCTTTGCATGCGCCAGAATCTCAGATTTGTATCCTGGCTGCTCCACTTCCCTAACAGCTCCCTGATTGTGGCCTGGGAAAGCAGTGGAGGATGACCCAAAGTCTTGGGATGCTGCACACACCTGGGAGACCTGGAAGAAGCTCCTGGCTCCTAACTTTGGATTGGCTCAGCTCTGGCCATTGTAGCCACTTGGAAAGTGAACCAACAGATGAAAGATTTTTCTCTCTGTTTCTCCTTCTCTCTGTAAATCTGACTTTCCAATTTAAAAAATAAATTAAAAAAAAAGTTTTAAAAGAAGAAAGGCAGCTTTTCACAGTGAAAGAGAGAGAAAGATCTTTCATCCACCAATTCATTCCCCAAATGGCTGCTATGGCCAGAGATTATCTGGCTGGGAGCCAGAGGTTCTTCCAGGTCTTCTATGCAATTGCAGGGACTCAAGGTCCTGGGCTATCATCTGCTGCTTTCGCAGGCCATAAGCAGAAAGCTAGAAGGGAAGTGGTGCTGCTGGGACATGCTCACCACAGAGCAGGGAATCAGACTGCTGCACCACCACACTGGCCCTGCCACAAAACATTTTAAATCCATACAAAGTTTGTTTTTTAGTGATATGAAATTTCCATGGACTTTTTGAAGAATCCTCATAACTTGTCTTCTAAAAAGGAGCAGAGATTCCTACACCTTATGTTAAGATTAAAATATTTTAGACAAGGGCCTGGCTTTTGCTGAGGCAGTTCCGCTGGTATGGGTGGGTTCATGGGGGCGTGTTAGCATAGACAGGGTTTGGGGAACCGTGAAAAGGCTTGGGTCTTGGGTAGGTGGAGGTATAGGGTCCCAGGCGAGCATGTGTGCCAGAGGACTGGGTCTGGGGGGGATCAGTCTATGAGCTTGGGTTCCTGGTGGATGGGTAGAGCTCCAGGCTAACATGCCACCCCACTAGAAGACTGGGCTTCAGAAAACTAGGCTAGGGAACCCATGTGCTTCTAGGTACAGGGACTTTGCATTGCTCAGGGATGGGGTTAAGGGGATGTGTGGGAGGTAGGACCACTGAGGGAGTATGTTGCAGGTAAAGAATGACTTCTGGAAGATTTCCACCGACAAAGCCACTATACCTGCTGGTAAGCAAGGGGGTTGACATGAAGCAGTTTGAGGAGGGAAGCTGGAGGACCTATCTGGGTCAGATGCACCCGGCCACCTGGGAGACCTGAGCTGGGCTAGTTAGACCACTAACGAATGCCATCCTCCAACACACACTAAAGCTAGGCCTGGGGGTCCATCTGGAAGGGTTCTCATGGGCACCCACCTGGCAGGGCACCCACCTGGCAGATTAATTTTTCAATTAGTAGAAGTACTTTATTTCTCTTGCCTTTGCTTTATATCTCCCTTTACAAAGTTATGAATTTCACAGCTTTATACCAAAATGCAAGAAGGGTAAGCTATTTGCTTATAAACATTTTTAAAGTCACCTGGTTCTGTTCTTCTCATCCATATTCAATATTTTTTTAAAAATCAGAAACCAAAGATGCTGGAGCAGTTCTAAGACATAAGATCTTCAACAGCCCTTCCTCCTGACCTCTGCCTTCCTTACAGCTGTGAATTCAGAGAAAACTGGGGGAACTGCAGGTACCCTGTGTCCCAGCAGAGCCACATGCTGGGGTCGGCAGGTGAGAGGCTGTAGGTGGTTTGGGTTACCGGAGGATTTCCCATCCACTTTTACATGGAGATCGGCAACTGTCGAAACTACCTCCGCATAGCTTCTCTACCCACCTCTCACACACCCTGTAGAACGTAAAGATTTGGGGCAGGGATGAAGCTACCACTTTACAGATGCGGCAGGCAAGGCCTTCATAACAGGAACAAAATATAATGTTAAGTTGGGCCATGATACTGACCAGCACATGTGAGAACCAGATCTGAGACTAGATTCTATGGGGAATAGGTAGGCTTACCGCTGTGGAATTTCTATACCAATTGGTTTGCTAAAGAGCTGGGGATGGTGACAAGCTGAGTTAGGCATGAACATGGAACCCACTGACAGCCATGGGTACTAGAGTTGAGAACAATTAGGCTGGTCCAGGCTGCAGTACCTGCAGACACACCCAAGAATAGAGTGTGGTGTAGATCAGGCCACAATCTCCATCAGATCATGCAAAGGCTGGTGTGCAGGTGAGGGTAGGGTGCAGACTATGCCAGGTAAGGTCTTAGTATCCAGTGGCACATGTGAGATCTAGATCTGGGAGTGGACCTGGTGGGGGAGCTTGGGAAACTCCCCTGGTGGGCTGCAGCTCCCACTGGTGATCACATTATTCAGACCTGGGTGTTGGTCAGGCCCAGCTAGGTAGCTTCACCAGTCAGCAAGTATTTGAGTTGATGCTGAGTGAGGCAGACCAGGCAGGCCCAGTCCAAACCTCAGGACACTGGCATGTGCAGGAGCAAAGCTGGTGTGTGCACCATGCTGGGTTAGGCTATTGCACCTACTGGTTTTCATAAAAACCAGGAATGGGAGCAGATTGGGCAGGGTTGGGCTATGGTACCCAGCAAAGAGAGTTGGCACTGGGGGCGGGCCAGGCCAGACCAGGCATCTGATGGTAAAGGCCAAGATGTGGGGTGGGCTATGCTAGCTGAGTCAGAGCAACCATTGGCACAAGCAAGATATATGGCTTGGAGCAGGCCTGGACAGGGAGCTAAGGGGATGCCTTGGGTTGTGGTTCCCACTGGTGAACACAAAAGCCAGAATGGGGACAGTGATTTGGACCAGACATGGCTGCATGCTCCCTCAGCATGGATATAGACTGGGTCTGGGGTGTGCCAGGCTAGGCCAAGTTATAGCACCTACTGGTGCTTGCTAGAGCAAGGATGAGTGGGTGTAGGAGAGGCTAGGCTAGGTCTCTGTACCCACTGAGCCACGTGAGAGCTGGGTCTGTGGCTGGATCAGGCATGGCTGAGCATCCAACAGTAAGAGACAGAATGTGTGTGGGCTAGTTGGGCATGGTTGCTGTTCCTGCCAGGACAGGAGATGGGCCAACTCAAGCTGGGCCAAGCACCCACCGGTGTGTGTGAGATCTGTCGCTAGGAACTGATGTGATAGAGAAGCTTGGGAAATTCCTCTATCAGGAGGCATTACCTGAAGGTGAGCACAAGAGCCAAAACTGGGAGCAGCCCAGACTTGGTCAAGTTACAGTACCTGCTAGCAAACGTGTGGGTCTCTGTAAATCTACCTTTCCGATAAAAATAAGTCTCTAGGGCCGCAGCCTAGAGACTAAAGCCTTTGCCTCGCAAGCACCGGGATCCCATACGGGCACCAGTTCTAATCCTGGCAGCCCCACTTCCCATCCAGCTCCCTGCTTGTACCCTGGGAAAGCAATCGGAAATGGCTCAAGGTTTTGGGACCCTGCACTTGTGTGGGAGACCAGGAGAGGTTCCTGTCTCCTGGCTTCAGATCGGAGGCTTCAGCGGAGGACAGTCCAAAGCCTTGGGATCCTGCACCTGCGTAGGAGACTAGAAGAGGCTCCAGGCTCCTGGCTTTGGATTGGCTCAGCTCCAGCCATTGCAGCCGCTTGGGGATGAATCATCGGATGGAAGATCTTTCTCTCTGTCTCTCTTCCTCTCTGTATATCTGACCCTCATTAAAAACAAATAATCTCTAAGAAAAATGCTATCATTTTATTGCTGACATAGGTGTTACTGAACACACTTTACGAATAAACCTACCTTTGCAATAAACATTAATAAATAAAAAATTATATCGTGGTACAACTGAATCTTGAACCCATGGCAAAGATTTCCCTGATGAATTCTTACAAAAATGGAGCTCAGGAGAACCCAAATACAGCCACATGGCAGCTCTTCTGTGCTCTCAATTCATGCAACAGGAACCGCAGGTTCCTCAGAATAACATTCATCTGGCACAACCTAGAAATTTGGCAAAAGAGGAAAGACAAACCTTTATTTACCTTTCTCGTCTGAGGTCAACCATTGGTGTAGCATGCAGCAGTCTGTCTACCAAGCGCTAGGGATCCCATCTCTGACCCCAACTTCAGTAACAATCCCCCAAGTTGACTGAAACATGACCACCACAGAGCTGTGCTGTACAGCAATGTTTGTGTAGTCAGAAGTATTCTGCTATGCATTTTAAAAGTTGTTAAAACAGGACATCTCACGCTATTCACACAGGGACACAAGGAAACTTTTGAAGGTGTTGGCTATGTCTGCTACCTTGATTTTGATGCAGATGTGTGCCCAAGCTCATCAAATGGGGTGCATTTTATTGATATCATTTATGTGAATATCAATAGTTAACTGAGAAATAGCAAAATGCAAAAGAGAAAGCAAGCATCATCACCCTTTGAGGTTTTAAGTGTAAAGATACAGAAAATAGAAACCAGCCACTGTTTTTTGAGAAACACCTATTTAAAGGAGGTGTTTGTGGTAGATTTTATGAAACTATTCCCCGTCAGGCCTGGAACTGATAGACATGTCCACAGGCAGCCCTGGTCATTTTACTGTTCGTCACAAGGTAAGAATACGATGAAATTGTAGACAAAACCCACCACGAGGCTGGAAAAAGAGGAAAGAAAACTAAATTAACCTTAAAAAGACTGTCTCTTGTGTCAGTTTCCTGTTTCCAGTTTGTGAAGCAGTGCGATTTTCTAGTTCAAAAAGAAAAGCATGAG